CGTCGGATTTGATGCACAATTCCACCGGCTACGTTATAAAACAATTGGTTCATGCTTTTAGCTGTGCACTATCGAGTTATGGAGCGCGTGGGAAGTTTGGAGAGTACGAAAGAAGCGTAAGAGTTGCCCGAGGCAATAGCCGAGGGCAACTCTAGCTTCTTGAGCCAATTGTTAATTAGAGGTATGCAAGCATAAATTACCGGGCTCTTGATAGAAGCGGCGAATTTAAGCAGTTGCAATTGAACTTATCACAATGAGCGCGCCTCTACTAATTATATAACAATATGCGCGTTCGAGGTGTAGTCAGTGATTTCGCGGTCTTTGAACATGTAACTGCTCAGTTTATGTTGAAATATTAAAATAAGCTTTTTTCAACCTAAAATTATCGTTTCAATTTCAGTATTAGAGTGATTTCAGAGAAATATTTTAAATGAGTTAAGTAACTGTCATACCTTGTTGCCTAAAAGTAAACAGAAACAACAACATAATCAAGCAAAATGCCTGCCCTTATATACCTCCCTTCCATACCGAGTTTTTTGAGAGAGGAGTCGATTTATTAGACTGAAGATAGCAAATGTTTAGAGTTGTATTTTACGTCTAATTTTTTTTTCGATGGAGAGGGGGGGGGGAAACTTCTTTTAGCGGATAGTTCATGAACAGTCAATTAAATCCACCAAAATAACAAAATGCTGAAATTTCTCGCAACAAGGAATCTCCGAACACAGAGAATCTCGATAGTCCATTAAACTGGCCTTTATCTAGCCCAAGCATCTAGAATCGTTTCCTTTAACGGCGGATTCCATTGCGAGAAGGCCGGGCTGAGGGCATGAGATGAAGTATTAATCGGAGACGCCAGTGCTTGAGACAAACCGATTTCCTTCCCCAAGATGGGGAAGGAATCAAAAACGTTCTTCGATTATCTACCATGGAGATTGATGACTGACAACTGTCTTTTTAAGTCGTCACAACGAAGTTTTGCTTATCTTTGGAAGGAATCGCTTAATCATGCAAATCGTAGAGAAGTTGAAGTGAAATCAGTTGAATATGCGAATGTGCAATATTGGACATTCCCTGAAGATAATGAATTATAGTCTATACACACCACAAAAGCAGTCAAACACTTTTAACAAGTTCTGTTCCTTTTAATAATGATAAAATTTGGACTAGTATTTTCGTAATCGAACTATGAAATCTGGGATGCGACAAACGTAGCGCTTTTTGCTTTCATCTTATTCCAGACATCATCGCCAGGTAAAAATGGTGGTTTCTTCCATTGCAGAGAGATTAACAAACGATCGAACGTATCAAGACCGCGAGATGATGAAGGGAGAGGGGTTGATCGCGAACGGTTGGTGAGTCCCTGCATCTCTATCTCGTACGCTTCTTCAAGCTGCCTCAATTGTTTTTTAACTTGATCGTAACAATCGCTCCAGCCAAAGTCTCTGAGAAGAGTCTCCTTGAGCAATTCGCATTCGGTACACGTCGAACCGAATAACGACGCGTACTTAACAAATAGCTCTGAAGCTTTTTGGCGCAAGTTCTCGTATTCTCTAAAATGACTAAAATGTTTCACGAGCGCTTGGTGTGCTTCGTGCTGCTTTTTCCTCGCTTCCGTGTCACTAACAGGCTTCCTCTTCAAACACACGAGGCTGTTGGCGACTTCTGACAATTTTCGGACTATTTTAGAGGATGTACTGGTTATGTACCCCGTGTAAGGACTGCTAACAAAGAGCGGTATAAGCCCCTGATCCCAGCACACGAAGTACTTGTCACCACCCACCCGTCCCCCTGCGCATTCATTGGCATGTGGTCGCGCCCCCCTTGTGGGAAACACGATACAATCGTACAGATCTTTGTAAGCTTCCTTTCCCAGAGTAATCTTCAAAACACGAACATCTCCCGCATGATAAGAGGGCCTTCGCATTACAAGAACAAACTCAGAAAATGAGAAGCCATTTTGCTCCGCTTCGTGGAGCGTCGGTTGGAAGAAACATTCGCCATGCTTCAGCTGACCGTACGGATCGCTCACCCCATAGACCACGCGAGAGTCTGGAATCAAAATTCTAAAATCTTGGACTTCATCACTTGTAGCACTGGGATCCTCTACCAAAGTGTCTGTCGTTGTAACATCACACAGAGGTCCACCCATCTCAGGTACTTTGCAGTTTTTCTCTTGTAACTGATAATTATCGCCTTGCTCTTCGTTTTCGCGGACTATTTTACAGTGTTTCATGTTTTCAATTTCTTTTATCTTCAGATTTTGCAACTCTCGCACAACACTGTGCGATAGTCCTTCTTGCTCAAGGGTTTGTAGCAACTCGTCCTTTCCCGTTATACGCAAGAAGTAACCGGCGTATGTCTTGTCTTCCAACCTCTCTAGCAAATCATGATAGTTTCCCTGAAGTGCCTCCAGATATTCATGTGAGACACCGCCTTCGGCCAACAGCATCATCGTTAGTGTGTCCAAATAGCCCAGTGAGTACGGCTGCGAGAAACCGACAATTCCAAGCGTGTTCCAATCACTCATAACATTTTGATGGGAGGAAAAGTCCAACATGGAATTTCTAAAGAGCGCTTTTACCTTGAGATTTGGCATATCGTTGAAACGAACCAGAGTCCCTCTAAAACCTTTGAATTTAACTTCAATTACGCTAGGTGCGCATGGAAGGTTGCACAGGTTCTGCACATCCTGAGAGAGTTTACACGACATAAGACCACACCCATCCGTGAACACATATGTACCCAATATGCTTGTTACGTCATCGATGACGGCGTATTCCCCTGGTTTTAGTTCCAAACTACGCTGGAAAGGTGAGAAGAGGAGGGATATCTTTTGAGATCGTTTTGCCACCGGGAAGATGTCATTGAAGTTTTCGAATTTTTCCAGCAAACTGTGCAAGTCAGTCAGCGAAGCATTCATCATGTAGCAAGTGCAGTGTCTAAGCTGGGAGCTCGATTGTCCCAAGTAATAATACTGTGAACCGTTGCACTCAATTCCCTTCTTAAGAGTCTCGATTATGAATTTTTTGTCGTTTGAAGAAAAGGTGACCACCATCAGCTGCTCGAGAACTTCAAGACTGCGTATGCTCACTAAATAGTGCACTAAAAGGGAATTTTCGACCTTCTTGTATGAAGCAAAACATGGTTTCTTTTCTGTTACTTCTACATGCTTGACGTAGAAAGATGTTCCCTCAGCTTGATTTTGAGACAGTTGCGGACTTGCACCATCAGCGAGGGAAACAAAAAAAGGGAACCCCATGATTTGTTTGTTGCTCTACACGGTTTTGTTTTCAAACACCTGTAAAAACATGATAAAATTTAAGCGATACAATCAGTACTGCTGAAGTATGCATCAGGCTCTGTGCCATAAAGATTGAACCGACATCGTTTTGTCATTAAATTTATGCAATCAAAGTAAATTCATTTGAGTTTTCTCCATCTTATAATGATGATGAAAAAGTAGTGCTAGCGACGACAACAATGATGATGAGCTTATATGGCAACACAATGATCACATTGGTTCAGATGTCATGTACTAAAATTAACTTTTACAAAGAAATACTTGTAAGAAAGATCTCAGATATATATTACAATGTTACCAAATCCTCATTAACAACAAGGATATCAACTTTACTTCAAAAGTGTTAATCGAATTTCAGTCATACTGGATATTTTCTCCATCGGCAGCTGCCAATGGTAGCAGGTAGATAAACCATGAAGATTAATTATAAATAAAATGAAGGAGAGGCCGAGTTTCCAGAAGCAATATTAAAGGAAATGCGTAAGCTGAATGTAAGTATTTCATTGCCTATTTTCTCCATGTTAGAATGAAAACTATATTAACCCCTCTACAACGTAAAATCTCCAGTCGTTGAAACTTGGTTTTATGTGGTAAGCAACTTCATGTTAGTGACATTCACACTTACCTTGAAATAAATCCCTGCAAAGGCACACACCTATAAAGCTTTTTTTTCTTAGAGATTGGCAGATTTTGCCCACATTATTTCATAGTAAAAAATTTGAGGAAACAGTTTCGGCAACTGTACACACAAGTGCTTTCTTTGAATTCGTAGCGAACTAAAATTAGAAGTAGTTAAGGGTATATAAAACAGTTTCAGTCTGTCGTGTGAGCTTGGTCTTGGACAAAAGCTTGATGTGTTCAACTGCTTCCAGAGTGAAGCTTTCTCCTTGATTTGAGGAACACTTTTTGACTCTCTGTGTTATGGCTTTCTGCCTTAATATATTCGAGATAATTTCCAATAAACATGTCGATACAGTATTTGAATTTTAATAAGTCTCTTCAACAGGTATGCAATTGTAGATAATATGTTTGTTTTGATTTAGATCAGCTTGCACCATTAATATTTAAGTGCACACAAAATCTCGCATTCGTTTATGACAAAAACATTAATTTAGCTTTTTCTAACATAGCCATTGGAAACAGTTCATACGACATGCACAGCTGGTACTCGGTAATCCTATGCACTTTGTTTATAAAATTTTCTACTGTACTTTTTGCATTTCCTAGAAATTCGCAGCCAGCTTTCACGACTCAGCCATCTCAGTTGTGTAAACCTCTTTTCCAGGATCCTCTTTCGAGAACCGTGAGAACGAGGCTAGAGTGGCCTGATACTTTGGCTTAAGTCCTTTAAGATTCTCCACTTCCGGTACCTTTCCACTTCCAGCTAAATTAAAACAACAGCATATGACAAGATCACGAAAATGTATAGTCTTTTAGTCAGAAAAAGTTACCATGAAGGATTCGTTGAAATTGTTAAAGAAAGTCATGTTTGTGAATGCTTCATGCTCCTTCGTAAACAACGTTTTTTTACCATGTCATTTTCATTGTTTTGGAAACTGAAAGGCTTTTGTTTTTAGAATCACATATTATGAATAGAAGGTCTATTTCAGTTTTTCTCAGAACGGTTTAAGGTCAAGTAGGTCAAGTAGAACCTTGAGGAACTGAATAACAACAGTATATGATTCGTATTAACTGAGGCAGCTCAGGTTACACGTAGAATTAATCAGTTCCAAAGTTGTTGACGTATATTCCTGTTAAAGCTGTTTTCCGGCTTAGGAGGCGGTTAAGTTGGTGTTTCACAAACGAAAAACGACTCACGGAAATTGGAAATCGTGATGTTTCTGGCTTATCTTTTAATCCGGGTTTTGTTCGTGTATGCAGTGACGCAGTTTCTCAGTAAGTGGGTTCTCGTCAGTGTGCTAGTTTGGCAGATACATTTGTTGCATTTAAGTTACGAGAAATGTATTGAGAGGTGTTACGTACAATACATTCAAACACCCCCTTAATGACGGGGTAACGACTGAAAAGCCAGTAGACTGTGCTAACGTCACCTGACAATGACTGTTGCTCGTGACATGGACAAAGAGTCTTTGTTCATGGAATGAAAACACAAATATATTTTTTTACTTTGCAGGTTTCTGAAACTAAATTTAGGTTCACAGTTTCTTTTTTGTGTGTGTGTATTCACCCATGTGTTTATTTTTCGATTTTTGAAATTCTGCACATTAAGCTCTCATTCTTGTTACGGTTGTCTCCAAATGTTTTGTGGAACGTGTACAGTCTGTTATTTTTTCGTTTGTTAACAATGCATCTCGTACACTTTCGTCTACAAATGAACTATTTGACTAATTTACGAGTTGTTTTGATGATATCTGAAGGAAGTAGAGTACGTGTTAGTTTTGGATCAGACTTTTAACATGCTGGTATTCTTTTAGACACGAACAAAAGAAGTTAATTTCATGCAAAGGACAAAGTCCTACTCTTTACTTTAGACTTAACATTAACATATAAAGATTAATGTCGATCATGAAGTTGACTGTAGGTTATTTGCATCTCTTCGATGTCTCTTGAGACATAACTTAATTTATTCAAAGCCACTAACCAACGGATGAAATCAGCCCCTATTCGTTGGTTTTATCCTTACAAGTTTGGTGAAGAGATTAAAAAGGACTTGATACTCAGCCTGCTATGTTCCCTAGCTAACCATTGCAGAAACGTAGCTAGTATTTCAAAAGTATTCCTTATATTGAAACTATGCACAATCACTTTTAGGCTCAGCAAACGCCCGAAATCCAAATAGATGCGACTCTTCACTGCAACAAAGTAACAACAAAGTTATTGTGAGCTGGTTTATCAACATCAGGGCGTTTACCCCTGATCCTTATACAGATATATGTTTTGGGAAGGCCTCTAAAGGAAACCCCTTTTCGATCTTGTGCTGGAACAAAGCTGCAAACTCCTTTACGTTTTCTAACCACAGTGATACGTTGTCGTCCTGTGACTGGTGTAAGACCTTCGTTACAAATCCGCAAGCACTAGAGCAGCCTGATGGTTCTGTCCGGATGTCTGTGGAGGTGGCCCTGGAAGGAAATTTTGGCCAGTTGGTATATTGGTATATAGTTTGGGACGGCGAACACAACAGGTTAATCAATGAAATGCTCTTCTGCATCTATAGAGTAGGTATGATGTCATTGAAAAATTGATTCCGTGTTGCGGTGTGCTGTTCTGTAACACATCACAGATCACGTTAAAATGTGGTACTGCGCACTTTGTTGTATGTTATGGTATAATATTGAATGGGGAAGGAGGGTATTGTGGCGAAATGTATTTCATTTTAGATTTCGTTTCCATTATTCAGCCAATACCCCATTAAAAATGACAACGAGGGTGTAAGGTGTCAACTATGCTTGCAGCAGATTGCAGGCTGTTCTCATCTTCTGACTCATCAATCTTTAACCTTTGGTTATGTGGTTGTTTATTCCACAGAAAGCTTTAACTGTGGCAAGAAACCACCTCTTCCTAGGATAGTTCGCGGAACAAACACCATCCCAGGGGAGTGGCCTTGGCACGTGTCTCTAAAAAAACAGGGACACGTTTGCGGTGGCTCAGTGATCAGCCCGCGATGGATCGTGACAGCGGCTCACTGCTTTGACGGAGAGGATCCAAAAGATGTCAGCATTGTTGCAGGTGAGACTAATCTCCTTCCAGGTTTTAGAGTAGTTTTCCCCTGACTAAGTAATGCAGTATTGGGTCGGTTTTTCTTTAGTTCGTTCTATGATTGATCTACAAAAATCGAGCCACCTTCTCGACCAATTAGATGCAAAACTGCTCCAGACAGTTTGCTTGCTTTACCCTTTACACCGTAACAACAGTATGCATGCACATCTTCTATACTTTCCTTTATACATTTCCTAAAGAGCTGTCAAGGAGAATTTATTTAACAATCAAGAGCTTTTATAGTTGATGATTATTTTCTGTATTCTTGTGATCTCAATGCTTGATTCAGGGCTGATATTGCATGGAGAAATTTAATGCGTCACTTTTAGTGGTTAATTATGAGGCTAAAGTTAAATTGAGTTACCATTGGCTCCTTGTGCCGTCAAACATCCTTCTGATTGGCTATTGTGTATTCCGTTAGTTTTGATTTTGGGTTTACCTACGTTTTAGTGTTACCGTCACGGATAGCTGAAATGAATCTATTTACGATGTAGGCAATTACCTAAACAAGCCCGTTTGACATGTTTTCTGCTGCTTCCAATTGAAAACAGGAAAATATCATCTTTCAAGAACAGACGGTTTCGAGCAAGAACTTCGCATCAAAAGGCTTTTCAAACATCCTCGATATAACGTGACCTGTAAGCTCAACTACGATGTGGCACTAGTAGAGCTAAACGGAACCCTAAAGTTTAACAACAGAGTGGGGTCTGTGTGTCTTCCCGACGCTGAGTTTGATCCTGGCACCTTTTGCTTCATCACTGGGTGGGGAACAACATCGAAAAATAGTGTTAAGGGAGAGGCCAAGGTACTTCTACCATTGACCATTAACAATAATCAATACACGAATTTCAGTAAAGTGTCATCCAGACAGGTGGCAAAAATTGAGGAAACTATCGGCTAGTGTATATTTTTGGTCATAATTCATCAAATATTTTGCTCGCACACGATTGGTCTAAACGCATTACGAGACCGAATATGCCTCAGCTAAAACTGGGTAATATCCATTTGGTGCGAAAATATGCTTGTATATTTGTCCTTGGGTAGTAATCGTTCCTCCTGGCTCACAGTTATCCTCGAGCTCCGCTCTTTGAAAATTTTTGGGATCTAGGAACACATTTTTGCGCCAAAAGTATGCCATTTTTTATTTATCCACAACACTAGGAATGCGTGTAGATTCAAGGGAAATGCAGATCTTGGCTTAGAGAGAATTAAAAAAATTGATTCATATCATTTGAACCATTTCCAAAAGAGGACGGTGACTGTTGCTTTAGCGGGAATGCGAACACAGCACGAGTGCTTTGATCATGAACTGTGCATTTTTTCTGTTCGGAAGTATTGTGAGTAAGTCACAGCCGATCCAGTTTTAAATAGAGGCTCACTTTCTTCATTCCATCTACCCCTTTCTCAATTCTGTTTGTATACAAAGGCGTCAACAAACTTAGGAAAAGTTGGGAAAGGGAAGGGGGGGGGGAACTGGTGAGGTGCAATGATAGCAGAGAAACCTCACTTTATACAGCACGGCTAAACTGGCCAATCAGCTAACACGAACCGTTCTTAAAACATACGACTGACGACAACAATTTACCTGACTCTGATGATGACCTCCGCACAAGCTTTCGAAACATCAGTCATTACTACCGACAACAGAGCTTCTCAGAACAGTTCACCCACGCGGACGATTAGACTACACCATGACATACCTCACTCTCTCCAAACCTCCTTCGAAGATTGTTGGCGTAAATAAAATGAACCGAATCATCGTTTTAAAATATAATGTAAACTTTTTTCGAGTTCTTTAGTACTCTTCCAAATTCTTATTTCGGAATTTTCCTTTTTACCATCGTTCTAACTTACCTTGCAGATTTTGAAACAGGCCAAAGTTCCTCTCGTGTCGCGTCATATCTGTAAGGAGAGCTACAAGGACCACCATTATTTAGGCTTCTGTGTCACAAAACGCATGCGCTGTGCAGGCTACGCCAAAGGGGGTGTTGACGCCTGTCAAGGAGATAGCGGAGGACCGCTGGTCTGTCGTAGACACAGGAAATGGCATCTAATGGGTGTAATCAGCTGGGGTGCTGGGTGTGGACGACCGGGACGTTATGGAGTGTACGGTGATGTTTTGAAGCTCAAGCGCTGGGTGCAACAAGTGATACAAGATTCATAAAAACACAAGCCATCAGGGATCAGGTTTTCCTAGTTGCTCCAATAATTAACGTTTCCGTGGATAGTATCGTCTGATAATTTCAGTCCTATTGTGGATTAGCCATGACCTTGATTGTGAGTCACATTCAAATCGGTGGCCTTTGAGTGAAGTTAATTTGAGATTTTAGGCATGTGTGATTAAGAAAGTGTTATCGTTTTAGTTCAGGTGGAAATTCTGCAAACGACTTGTAGATTTGCTGAAATGGATTTAATCGACCGAAGAGAAATAGATAAGCTAGCTGTTGCAATCTTTGCATCTTGCAAAGTGCTTTTTGGAGTATATAAATGATCTTAGACGTTAAAAAATAGTCGCTGTAACGTTTCCGGAATAAAGTCTACGATGAGTTTAGATATCACTGACGAAAAGTGTTCGCACAAAAGTCGTTTGAACTCATCTTTAGGAAGAAACACCAAGTTATACCAAGCACAGCGACTTTGTACATGATTGAATTACTCAGTTGTATATAGAGCTCGTTTCATTTCTGACCTGTTCAGTTTTGTTTGATTTTCTTTTACCTTAGATACATTTTCAACATAATCAATAATTTTGGGAGTTTCCTGATGATTTTCTTTTCTTTTCTTTCTCTGTTCTCGTTCTGCGTTTATTAAAGCATACCCTCCATTGAGAAACGTTTCCAAATTCCCTTGGCCCGGCTCATTTTTTTAGAATCTTGGTGCACTTGTTCCTTTAAGTATATACTCCACTTGTTACATAAAATCTTAAAATTTGCTTTCCATTTATAGCAAGTTCCCCACAGCTCAGTGGGTAGAGCGTTGTACCGCAAATGCGGTCCCAGTCAGGATGGAAATCCTGTTCCGGGGAACTTGCTGTTTCTTTTTTTTTTTTTTTTTTTATAATAATGTGGTCCTTTTTCCATTTTATACCAAGCTTATAAATAGTCCGGAATGTATTTTATATTGGTCTTTTCACATGATGTCATTAGCATAGGTTTTCTTCCAACTATTGCCAAGTTTACCCTTTTCCTACACTTTAAAGTAAGGAAAACGTACATCGGAACGCTGGCAAATTATAACATAATTTAATAAAACAACAAGGCTTTTGAGGAAATGTCATATTTTGGCCATAAAGGTCAGTTTTCCTCATAATCTGTTTGCAGCTTTTCCTTGCAGTACGTGCTCCACTTGTTACTAATAAGCTTAAAATTTCCCCGCAGCTCAGCGTGTAGAGTATTGCAGCGCGAGAGCGGTCCCAGTCAGGATGGACATCCTGTTCCGCGGTAGAGGCCGGTTTTTGTTTTTTTATTTGTTTGCTTCTTTTTTTTTTAATTTTATTTTTATTTTTATGGATGATGGGGTTCTTTTCCCATTTTATACTACGCTTATAAATATTCTGGAGCGTCTTCGCATACTCGTCTTTTAAATTCATTTTATAAGATTGGTCTTCCTTCCACTTATTGGCAAGTTTACCCTTTCCCTACACTATTTAATCGAGGACTAGCATCAGAATACTGCTGAATTGAACGTTATAAATCAAACAACTAAGTTTTTGTGGTAATGTCTTTTTTTGGTCAAAGATCTGAGTTTTCCACAGAATCTAGGTGGACTTGCTCCTCGCAGTAGGTGCACCAGCCGTTACATTCATTCTAAAAATTTACTCTCCCTTCATGGCAAATTCCCCGCAGCTCAGTGGGTAGAGCATTGTACCGCGAAAGCGGTCCCAGTCAGGATGGAGATCCTGTTCCGGGGGACTTGCCGTTTTTTTCATTTTTTTTATTTAATTTCTTTTTTTTAATTTCTTATTGCGATGATTCGTTCCTTTTCCCTTTTAATGCCAAGCTTATAAATGATCTGGAGTGTCTTTGCATACCCATCTTTCAACTTCATTTCATAAGAATAGGTTTCCTTCCACTCATTGGCGATTTTACCCTTCCTACGCTTTAAAAGTGAACAAAAACGTGCGGCGGAATACTGCTGAATTATGGCATAATTTTTTAAAGTTTTTTTTTTAGGTTTTTTAGTTTTCCACAGAATCGTTTTTTGTAGAAGTTGTACTCAATCATTTGTTCCTTTTTACTCATTTTATACCAAGTTCCTCGCAAATAGGCATTGGAAAGTGTCCCAGTCAGGATGGAGATCCTGTTCCGGGGAACTTGCCGTTTTTATTTTTTTATTTTTTATTTTTTAACTTTTCTTTTCAATCATTTGTTCCTTTTCTCATTTTATACCAAGCTTACAAATAGGCTGGAGTGTCTTCGTATACTCCTCTTTTCTTATTTTATTATATAAATCTTCCTTCTACTTATCGGCAAGTTTACCCTTTTTCCTCACTATTAAAGTCATGACATGCATCGGAATGCCGCGGAATTTGAGAATTGTTAAATCAAACAACAAAGATTTTGCTGATGTTTTCATTCTGTAGGTAAGTGGACGTTTTGAGTCAAAGAACTTTTAGTTCAGGATGTTTTCACATTTGATTTTAGCAGTATGTAGCCTAATGTATGAAATTAGAATTTGTTGTCGCGTGAAGCCTCGTTTTAAAATATGCTATGATTTGAAAACTGTATTTCAAAAACCGACAGATAAAGGGCCTTTGCAAAACTCTAACATTCTCTTAAAAAGCGTGCAAAAAACAAACGAAACCACACCTAAAATTGTGACGTATTTCCTGTCTGTTGGAGGTACGTTTTTATCCATATTCATGAACAATTTTCATCATGCACCTCATTACAAACTCTTGGCGGCCACGTTAAGATGTCAGGCGAAGCAGTTCCTCTCCGATGTGTATCTTTCACAAAAGTTTGAAGAAAAAGCATGGTTACTGTTCTGAACGTCAGGAATTAAGCGAAAGGTGAGTAACTAATTGCACATGGGACTTGTACGCTTAATTTAAGAGGAAACTAGTGGCAATGTACGAAGTTGAAGGACGCCATGTGCGTTTGGGATTTCGTCAAGAAACATTTTGACCTTGTCAAACTATTCGGAAAGCAACAAGTAGACTTGGGCAAAAATACTTTCATAACAGAGTTTTCATTTTTATTTCACTCATGACCTTTAGAGCCAAAACTACGTTAAATATATACTGTCAGTTCAATCACAACTTGACTTCAGAGTCCATAAATCGTTTAATATTCTGGGATAGGACATCACACTTGTGCCATAAAACGTGGCGGGAAAAATCAAGGACTTTCTTTCATCTTTCCCTACGTTTTCTTCTCCAAGCCAATCTAGTGTTGAAAGTCGCATTTAAATTAAATGGATATAACCCGTAGAAGTAATGTCATAATTTTAAGTTTGCTTGCCATGATGCTAAATATCTTTTTAATGTTTCATGCTCAGATATAACTCTCAGTGAAGACAGCAAGCTGAACAAGCCAAAGAAGTAGAATTTATAAGCGAGAAACAATGGATTGTCAAGTCAAGCAATGGGGAAACGTCGTAAAGATAAGAATATTGATTAAACTAAATCGCTAAAATATCCGATAAGATGGTGGTTTGAATACCAAGAGAGCATGCAAAATACTGAGTTTGTACAAACATTTTGCCAAAACTGCTGATTCGTTGAAGAAAATAAGATGCAAAACTTGTGATGGAAGAAATTCTGCTAAAGTACAGAAAGAAATTATTGCGTAGTCAAATTGTTTTTGTCTGTATTAGACAAGAGGCTTTTCGCTAAAATTTTCGTGCAATTATTGTCATGGTTCCCCAAAAAAATTGCAATTCAATTTCTCATATGTATAACCCACCATTTTAATCGGGTAGAAGGCGACATGAGGACCTCGTAGCAAGTGGCACTGTAATCTAAGCTCTTAGTAATTGAGTACGATAGACTGACTTGGTGGATCGTCGTTACAGTAATCTGCACTATGTCTTCGGCGGTAAGTTTGATCAATCTTCAGCGACCGAAAATTAGGACACCAAATTTAAATCGTTAGTCTTTCAGTCTGCCAACAGTGCCACTTGATTTAGAAAATAGAATTAATTGATATTTTCAATCTTAGTTCTCAAAAAGAAATTGCTGGTACACTTTGTTCACTGCGAGATTTTGGTACAGAAGGCGTTATGGCAAACAAAACCTTGCGCGTAAAATTCATTTCCACCCTCTCTTTTTTAAAAAAGCTTATGTACCCTGAAATGATAACTGGGGCTTTGAAAAGTGGCTGATATCTGCGTATTCTTTATTAAGAGTACAAAAGGTTGATACGAATACAACGTGAGAACACTACTACCAGTAATAATCGTTGAATGAAACTTGCACTGAGGGACAGGAAATTTAAATTCGAATTTTACATTATAAGATCTCATAGGAGGTGCGTTTCATGCAATTGACAATCTCATTTACAAAAAGGAGAGGAGAAAACTCGCTTTCTTTTTCGATTAATTTAGAATTTCCTCTCTGCAAATTTGAACCATCATCAAGAGTTATTTTCCTCGCGTGCACGGAAAATTAATGTAACTCAGTAGTTTTCTATTTCTTTTTCAAGCACTCAAATAAAATAGATTATGCTTCAGAAACATTTTGACAGTTCTCCAAATTCGAAAACAAAAAACAAACTTTACGATGTTAATTCGAACTTAGAACAATATATAGCTGAAGGAATTGTCCAAATTATTAAAAAAATTACTTTGCACCACGGCAAGGAAATTACAAGTACCCTAGAGTAAAAATACGCATATTTTAAGCTAGGAAATAAACAAAAAACACAAACCGATCATGATTCGAAACATTACACAAGATATATAAACGAAAATTTTAATTCTAGGCGCTGCAAAAATTCATACAAGAACCAGCAGTTTAATATTTGAGAACTATGATACTTACGTTAATTTAAGTTCCTAAACAGTGGAAGAAAAAGAAGCGAGACATCTTGCTGAAGCAAAAAGAAAAAAGATTTCTAGGTTGGCAAGCAATGAACATTGCTAGTCAAATGGGTGAATTCTCTCGAGCTGGAAAAAATTACAGTATGTACGAAATTCTAAATGAGATTAACAGGATTTGGACGAAATGTTGAAAGACATCTTCGAGATGCAAAAATACAACATTCCAGTAATTGAATTTTCCTTAGGGAATTTTGATTGTAAATTCTCTCGTTTTAATCAAAAATTGTATTGTGCTTGCACGGATTGTCATCACCATCTTCCAAATTAAAGCAAAACTGACAACTACAGCTAAATTTAGATAGATGAGTTCTCGGAATTTTAACCCCCAAAAAAAACATTCATAATACAGGCGGACGAATTGTATTGTCATTCTACCAAATTAAGGCTATAGAATTTTGACTAGAGATGTTGTGTAGCATGAAAAAAGGA